CTTCGTTTTAACGGAAATCGCGTCGTTTGTGCCGAGTGTCAGTGCGAAATCCGCGAGGAATCTGCGAGGAATCTGAGAGGAAGTGGCGGTCCTGGAGGCATCGGGCAACGGCGGAGCAACCTCTGGTGAGTACAATTATTTTATGCATTATTCCTGCGTTAACTTGATCCCGCGAATTGCTTTTATTCGTCTTTCCGTCTCTTCGACTCGACCGTTCGAACGATTCGCACGAGCATTCGTCACACGTTGTTTTACGGAAAAGGTTCGCGTAAGTAACGTACAGAAACGGTCGACGTAGGTCTAGATAAAATTTACGACACGATCCCGCCATTTCTATTATTATTGTACATATCTCGGGCGAAATCTTGTTAACATTATTTTAATATGAATTCTCCGTTTGTGTGTTACAGGTCAACGCAACGTAAAAAACTCCGCCGCTGCGCATCAGGTCGGTGAGTAACAAGTTTTTTTTTTACCAAGGTAACGAATCTACGCCTCGTAGATGGTAGAACGTAGACTGTAGAATGTAGATGATGAAACAGTAGATAAATTCTGTAGATTCGTTACCTGAAAATGGATGGATTACAATATAATTTCTTATTCTGTTTGATATATTTAGTCTGAATGATTTATTGACGTATTCATGGAACTAATCACTGACGACCTATCCATTTTCAACATATTGATATGTAAAATATGACGTGAGATTTTAAATATTTTGTCAAAAACTCTGAAAAATTTTAAATTACTATTGTACGTTATTGGTGATTATTCATTATCTACACTGATAAAAAATATCTGAATAAAAAAAATTACTTTATTTAAGAAATTATTCATTAGGTGGCTCCTAATAGCTTATTAACTTAAATTAAAACGTACATTTCTTTAATTTAAGTATTTATTAAATATCAAACAGTAGATAATTTTAAATTAATAAAATTTAAGATATAAGTTTCACAGCGAAGAAAATTAGATTTCTTATTTGACGCAAACAATGATTTCATTTATTAAATAGTATTTTCTATCTCATGAAATCTTTAGTTGAATGCAGAAAATATAATGATTTACATTAATTTACTTAATGTAATACACAGATTTACTTGAAATTTGCTATTTTGACTTAAAATAAATATTTATTTCAGTAAAAAAATAATTTTAAGTAAATCTGTTTATTCAGTTTAAAAACTTTTTTGTCAGTGTATAATATATTTCAATTACGCTAAGTAATATAAAACAATTACAATATCAGTATCTATCATGCAGTCCTTTAAGTTTGAATCTCACGTCATTTATTCTGTATATGTATCTCGGTGTACACCTTCAAGATGCGTCTTGCATGAACAACATGCATACGCAAACGCATCTGCATACATTCGCGATCGGTTTTCGCGTTCGCGTTTCGCGATCGGATTTTAAAAACATTTTCAAAATATTAGTACTTTTTAAATTTCGTTCATATTAGAAATACGGATAAATTAACGCGGAATATAATTAAAATTAGTATAACGCGAATTGAAATGTTTTTTTTTACAGACTTAAATTTTGAATTCGAAGATTGAGTCACAAAAAGACAGTCGATACTCGCGAGTAAATAACGGGAGTAGAAATGTATTAAATTAGTTTTATGCAGTAAATTTTTCGAATTAAAATTCTTTCTTAATTAACCTCTCGTCGTGTATTTTTCGAATTAAAAATGTTTCTTAATTAACTTCTCGTCGTATATTTTTCGATACGATCGTCGCTCGCATACGTAATATTTGTCGGTTACGATAACAAGCCGACAATGGAAGGAATTTTCTTCCTTCCTGATCTGGTCAAAATGACCAGACTGTATGGCCAGAAGCATCAAAAAGGTATGTCCAATCTGGCCCGACGAGGGAAAACTGAATACAACGAGCCAATAGTGGTCAATATTGGCCACTCTGATAGAGTATGTAAGTCAGGTGACTTACGTACTAATTTTATTTCTTTCATGTGTCAAAATTTCGGGTGGGTTAATCTTTTTTTATGTGTCCTCGTATGTGTGCGAGATTGAAAAAACTTTTATTAAATTCCATCGCGCGCGTATTATAACCCCAAATCGGACCTTTCATAAATCGCGTCGCGGTTTTAATAAAAGACTTTAAAAGAGACTTTAAAAAAACTTTAAAAGACTTTAAAAAAGACTTTTAGGTCTATTTAAAAAAAATTGAAATACGGATAGGTAGGAAAAATGAATAGGACTATACATTAGAATATGCATAGGGATTCGGGTAGGCAGACACAGAGGGACATAACTCGGTAAGATAGATAAAATTTTAACTGCAACATAATAAGAATGAATATAGTATGTAAGTAAAGTGATGTACACTAGTAATCACTGATGCCTTCTCATATGAATTGAAACATATGTGAAACACATATACATTTTCCATGTTTGCAAAATGTATAAATGTATTGACATGTGCACAAATTTATGTGGAAAGGCATCAGTGATTCCTAGCGTACACCAGGAATCACTAATAACTTGTCATATGAATTTAAACATATGTGGAACACATGTACATTTTTCGTGTAGGTTTATGCAAAATGTGTAAATGTGTTGATATGTGCACAAATTCACGTGGAAAGGCATTAGTGATTCCTATAGTACAAAATAATTTAATATCTTTTATTTGTCAAAATTCGGGTGGGTGATTCTTTTTTATATTTCCTCGCGTGTACGCGAGATTGAAAAGAACCAACCCTATTAAATTCCAATCGCGCGCGCACTGTAACCTCACAAATCAAACCTTTTAAAAATCGCGTCGCGACTTTAATAAGAGACTTTTAAGTCTATTAAGTTCAAACACGGGTAGGTAGGAAAATGTCTAGGACTATATAGCGGAATACGGATAGATAGGGTTACAAAAATTATATTTATTATTATAACATCATGAAATATATTATTATATTTAATAATGTAATACTAATAAATATAATTATTGTCATGACTTTTAATCAACCAACTTTACAGTGAATATATTTATCGTAAAATGTATTAAATTGTATTGAAATAATTATTAGGAATATTACACCCAGAAAAAGCTTGTTTGGAATGAAACGAATTTATTTGAATTTGGACCTTACTAGACTTATTTAATTTCAAAGAAATAATTTCTTTACCTTAAGCACAATTTTATTTGATTGCGGCTGAAATTTCTAAGAGCATTTACATCTATTTCTTCAAATGTACACTGAAAAAAAATCTGACAGATTCAACCAGTCGTCTGTTAGAAAATGGACGAGTCAGAATTCCCTTTAGGATTTACCAGATTTGTAGTGAAGTCTAGCAAACTTCTGGTTATGAAATATCATTCATGGTAAATCCTAAAGGAACTCTGATTCGTCCATTTTCTAAAGCCTTGTGTCCACGATCCAAGAACTGT